GGGGGGGGGGGGGGGGCAGCGCGGTCTTTCACAGCTCTCCACAAGGTTGTATTAGAGATACGCCTTTTTTAAAACTTAAGTTTATTGGTACAATTTAGGTAGACATAATGATCACATTCATCATAGAGAATTTGTGCCTGTGCCTGATGTATCTCAGTAGCTCTTTATTTCCCATTCCCCTCCCTTCCCCTTCAACTCCTCTTCCCTTTCTTATGTACACAACTTTGTTTCCATTTTATCCTTATTTTTTAAATTTCCCTTCCACATCCCCCCATTCCCTTTTCTCTTTGAACAGTTACTTCCGATTTACAATACCTATTACACATTTCGGTTTTTATTTACACTGCCAGTTTCTCACACCAGTGAGACAGTGTGATGTTTATACATGTTTGTTTGATTTGTTTCACTTAAGAATATGGTCTCAAGATCCAGTCATTTAGCTAGAAATGTCTCGTTTAACCTTCTTTATGGCTGAGTGCTATACTCCATTGTATAAAAAATCCCCACATCTTTTTTATACATTGGTCAATTGATGGGCATTTGGGTTGTTTCCAGGTTGTAGCTATTACAAACTGCTGCTAATAAAAATAAGTGTGCATATATCTCTGTGGTAAATGATGCTTTTCATTCTTTTTAGAAGATAACTAAGAAGAGGGAATAGCTGGATCAAGTGAAATCTCCAGTCCTAGTGTTTTTTTGTTTTTTTATGTATTTGGTACAGGGTCTCACTACACAGGTCAGGTTTATGGTGATCCTGTTTTCAGCCTCCCCAGCCCTGAGATTATAGGCCTGCGCCATCATGCCTGCACTAAGTGGCTACCTCAGTGCACCTGGAGCAGGGCTGGCACGGCACGTGGTGCAGGGTATCAAACCCCTGCCCCTGCACTTGCCTAAGTAGGCCCTTAATCCACTGAGCTATATTGCCTGTCCTTAGTAGTCCTAGTATTTTGAGGAATCAACACTGGTTTCCAGGATGGTTGCACCCATCTGCACTCTCACCCACAGTGAAAAAGGGTACCTTTTCTCCCACCTCCCTGCCAGTATTTGTTATTGATTGATTTGTTGATGATAGCCATTCTTTCTAGAGATGGACTGTCAATATTGTTATATATTTGTTCCACAGTCTCACTGTGCACTCAGACTCATGGTGATCCCCAGCACTGAGATTACAAGCTGGCATGGCACATAGTGCCAGGGATTGAAGCACAGTCCCTGCACTTGCCAAAGCTTGCCTAAGCAGGTGCTTTAGTCCCCTGAAGCTATCTTGCTGGCCCCCCAGCATTGTTTTAATTTGCATCCCTCAAATAATC